CTAAATATATTTGGTGTGTGGTGAATTGTAGTTTCGGTGTAGATTGTTCTTATTTAGACATCAATTCATGTTTCAATGTCTACCTTAAAAACCTACCTATCCGAAGGAGGATGCTATACTCTGTGGGGGTGGCGGTTGTTCTTTGGGGAATTTAGAAAACTAGGAATATGGCTGGTTTTGATCACAAATGGCCTTTTGACCCATCTATTGCGACTTTTAAAATTGCACACTGGATTACTGATTGGAGATTGTTGCAGGTGAAGGAGGAAGAAAAGGTGGTGCTATAATAGGGCGCAAAGCTGCTGGAGTGAGTCGCAACTAAGATCTTTCAGGAGAGGAGGAACTGGGCATCGTGAATACCTCGACTGGGCAATTGAAAACACTGGCGAGCCTCAGCTGGGGGGGGTGTCATCTGTGTAGTGTGGGGTGTGCCTTGTGGTTTTGATTTGTCCGAGACATGTTGCCTTGGTTCACCTAGTCTTATGTACAACTAGGTAAAAATGATAGGTAAGTGAATTTTGGGAAGCCTTAAGGCTGTAATCCCTGTTATGAGGTGCGGTTTGGTGGTTGCTGCGTTTTGGGTTGTAATACACATTGATTTATATATATGAAATTGGGGGAGGAAATCCCTTTCAATAAAAATGATTCAGAGATTCCTCGCGCAATTGCAGGATCGAGAATGAAGAAACTCATCACCAACTACAGGATTATCTTCTTGAGCATTTGTGGGCATTTCAAAACACTTGGTTGTTGTGCTTTTCTCATGTTTTATTTGGATTGTTACTTAATTTAGACCCTATGTTGTGTTTGAATTTGAATACTTAAAGTTTGAAATGTTGTCGGCATATATGAGCACTAGAAATATCATGTATTGAATTAATACGTTGTGCAAATATAGTGTATGCAAATGATGGAAGAAGTAGCAAAGGAATTTGTAGGGAGTTAAGTTATGAAGAAGGGCTAGGTGCTCAAAAGTTAAACTGCTAAAAATTGTAGGAGTTAAAGTTCTAGGGGGTTCTTTGAGGAGTTAGACATTACAGGAGAAGCCTAGAGATGCTCTACGGCTGTATAATCGGTAGCATTATCTGTAGCGTGCAGCCAGCGAGACATTTTTTTTCCAACCAGGGAGAAAGTTGACAAATGAACTCTCATCAATCAAGTCAACTGGAAGCTCAGTCGTCGCCGAACACTAGATATTTTTACAAGCTCACTGGCCATGTGGATGTGGTTGGCAAGGGCCGCAAAAAACAAAAAAAAAACAAAAAAAACTAGGTTAAGGGCTAACTACATAGGGGTACTTAATTAGTGGAGCGCATAATTAGTCCAAGTTAGAAGCTACTTCTGAGTTGGTGCTTGACCCCGCATGTGCGCGTGTAGTGGAATGGGGCGAGCAATGGTGATAGCGGCTCGGCCGTGGCTGAGGCTCCTGCTCGGCCTCGCCGCCGCCGCCGGCGTACTTCAAGTCCGCGGCCAGCGAACGCCTAGTATCACAGGTGAGCTTGCAATCATCCACGGATGCTTGTTTTCTTTAGATAATAGCTAGGAATGGACGATATCTCGGTTAGAAAGTGAAAGTGGGTGTGTTCATCGTTTCATCAAATCCCATACACACAATGCAGGCTTCATCAGCATAGACTGCGGGCTGCCGGAGCAGGGCGGCTACGTGGACGCCGCCACCAAGATACCGTACACCTCCGACGCCGGGTTCACGGACGCCGGCTCCAACCGCGACGTCTCGGCCGAGTACATGGATCCGCGCATGCCCAGAACCCACCTCAACGTGCGCAGCTTCCCGGACACAGCCCGCGGCTGCTACACCCTGCCGTCCCTCACGCCGGGGTCCAAGTACCTGGTCCGCGCCACCTTCAGGTACGGCAACTACGACGGGCTCAACAAGCTCCCCGCCTTCGACCTCTACCTCGGCGTCAACTTCTGGCGGACCGTGAACGTGTCCAAGGTCGACGCGGCGGTGGTCGCCGAGGCCATCGCCGTGATCCCGGACGACTCGGTGCAGGTCTGCCTGGTGAACGTCGGCTCCGGGACGCCGTTCATCTCGGCGCTGGCGCTGAGGCCTCTCGAGAACTCGCTGTATCCGCAGGCGAACGCCACCCAGGCGCTGGTCCTGATCGACCGGCGCAGCCTGGGTGACACGGGCGTGTTGCCTATCAGGTACCCGGACGATCCATACGACCGGGCTTGGGTGCCGTGGAGCGACCCGGAGGTGTGGACGGACATCTCAACGACGGAGAAGGTCCGGGAGACCATCGGCAACCTCCGCTTCCATGTGCCGTCCGCCGTAATGCAGACCGCCATCATCGCGAGCAACGACTCCAGGAACCAGACCATTGACTTCTCGTGGGACGTCGAGCCAAACCACGCCTACCCAGTTCCCGGGTACGCAGCTGCATATCACTTGTCCACTTCACAACATCGAAAAATATTGTTTTTCCTATAATGGGTACTATTATTGTTTTTAATTAGCTAGTACATTTACACCAAGAACCTAATCAATCTTCTATATTTAGTAGGATCCCCACTTACTTCTTTTAGAGCACATGCAATGCAGCTATGCACCATTGTCACATCATCCCAATTATATAGTACTCCCTCCGTCCCTAATTTAAGACATTTTTTTCCAGATGAATGTAAGACGTTTTTTGACATTACACTAGTAACAAAAAAGGTCTTACATTATGGAACGGAGGGAATAGTTGCCAACAATTCAATAAAAACTTCGTAGAAACCAAGTTAAAATTTTCAAAATAATCTAAAAAATATGGGATGTTAAGAGGGTGAGGTTTTATTGCTATGTGAAATTCCAAGTTGAGACACATTACAAGGTGTGAGTTATGAAAAAAAAAATCAGCAATGAATAGTGATGTTGCTGTTTGGCACTATTCAATTCTAATTTTGTTATTTTCATAGCTCATATCATGTAATTTGAACTTGGAATTTTGTATATCAATAAAACACCACCCTCTTAACATCATTTAATTCTAAAAGATTTGTTTTAAACTTCAAAACATATTTTCCATGTGGCTTCGTTACATGTGATATTCTCCTAACATTTGT